TTTTTTTTTTAACAGGGCCCACAAAATTGAATACGCTTCACATCCCACAAAAGCTGGATCTGCTCCTGTGTAACCATTACCATATTTTTATATGATAAGTCTCTCATGGTTTAGATGTGTTTTCTTCCTGTGTCCCCTGTACCCAGCCCATGACTGGTGGGGACAGTACACACTCCAGGTGTGTGCACTGACTAAAGGAGGCGCAAATCCATTAAGCAGTCTTTTTTAAGGACCTTCTGTGCCAGGCACTGTGTGAGGTGCTTGGGACACAGACGTGAGTGAGATTTGGTCACTGCACTGAGCTCACAGCCTGACAAGAGATGACAGACGTGGACGCACTGAAGGGAGAGGTGTAGGAACAAGCGAGTTCAGGGCTCAGAGACTGCCCTGAGGAAGGAAACATGTGAGCTGGGTCTGCAGTGGTGAGTTGGAAAGGTAGAGAATATGGAGGTGACAGACAACAGGCAGCAAACACAGGTGGCGCAAGGGCATGGGAAGTGGACTGTTGTTGGAAAAGTGAAGAAAACGAAAGGGGGCAGCAGCAGGAGGGGGAGGGCGGTGAGCTGAGCAAGGGGGCCGGGGCCAGCTGTGAGGGTGCCATGGAGGGGTGGGGTCAGGTGGGTGATCCACAGTCAAGTTCATACACATGGAGACTTAGGTGAGGTGTCAGAAATGCTAAATGGCCACCTGAGGGATCATGCACCAGCTAGCTGCAGGTCACCCTGAGTAGGGATGTCTGAGGACCTTCCCCGAGTATCGCCAAGTGGACAGAGGCAGCGAGAGCATGGCTAGGGGCAGACTCTGGTTTGAATCCTGGCTCGGACCCTTAAAGAGTAGGGTCAAGACTGCGGGGAACGTGGAACCACCGCATGCTGTTGCTGGTGCTGCTTTGGGAAACAGTCTGGCAGTTCCTCAAATGGTTCAACAGAGTTACCACGTGACCTGGTCATTCCACTCCTAGGTCTCTGCCCAAGAGACATGAAACGGGTGTCTGCGCGGAAACCTACACACAAATGTTCACAAAAATAGCCCCGAACGGAGACGACCCAAATGTCCGACAACAGGTGGATAAATAGGGTATGTCTATACAGTGGAATATGATCCAGCCATAAAAAAGGAACGAGACGCTGTCACACACTATACCAGGGACGAGCTCTGAAGAATCTTGCTGAGTGAAAGAAGCCAGACACAAAAAGTCGCATATTATATGATTCCACTTAAATGAAATATCCAGAATAGACAAAGCCACAGAGACAGAACACAGCTTGGTGGTTGCCAGGGGTGGGGCAGGAGTGGGGACAGGGAGGGAGGGAATGGGGCTTGTTTTTGGGGTGATGGAAACGCTCTTGAATTAGATAGCGGTGATGGTTGCACAACTTTGCAAATATAGTAAAAATCACCGAAAAGGGGTAAATTTTATGGTATGTAAATTATATCTTAATTTAAATTATAAATAAGAAAAAGGGGGGGGAAGTCAAACTATTCAGCGTCCCAGTGCCTCAGGTTCCTCACCAGCAAATAGGGACAATGACACGCCTTCCCCCTGAGACCATGGTGAACAGTAAGTCGGTTAATATACGTAAAGCACTCAGAACAATTTCTGACACATAGGAGGGCCATGTAACTGCCACCTAGTTTTGTTAAATGTATCTGACAATTTTGTAAAGTTAGTATCTTTTGCTTCTGATTGAAAAAGTATCACATACTCATTGTGAACAATTTCACACATTTAGACGTGCACAGGATAGATAATCTACCTAGACGCCCACATTGCTGCACCCTTTAATCCCCAAGTAATCATGGGTAAGTTTGGTGTGTAGGACTCAAGAATTTCTTCTATATATTCTAACCTATATAATTATAATTTTATGTGAAAAGTAGATAAATTATAGAAGTGTAATTTTATAGGAAAATGTGTTACGTCTCGGAGATATTTCCATGTTACCACACAGAGAGCTTACTTTTTCTTTTCTAAAAGCAGCATCATGTTTCAGTGTAGTGACAAGTCATTATTTAACTAATCCCCCATTAATGGACATCTGGATTGTTTCCAATTTTGGAAAATATTTTCGAGCAAGACATCCTTTTACTTATGTCTTGGCATACTGTGTGAGGACTTCTGTGGGCTACATTCCTAGACATCAGACGACATGATACAATTTAGCAAAGCTCTCCCAAAAGGACACCCCAGTTTCCACATCCCCCCAACAGCCACTGAGTGCCCACCCACTTATACTTTGCCAACACTATGCCCTGTCAATCATTTTTATTTTGCTAATCTGATTTGTGAAAAATGATGTCTTGTTTTCATTTGCATCTTTGATACACTAGTGAACATCTGCTCATAGGTTTATTGGCCTGTTTCTGCCAACTGCCTTTCAAGTTCTAAATATTTTAAGTGCATTTTAAAATTGTTTTCGGTAAGTCCCGCCCCATGAAAAGGCAATTCCTTCCCAAGTAAGCTGTGGTTATGAGGCTTTGTTATTCCTACAACTTAAAAGATGCTTTATGCAAGGGGCTTTACTTTGGAGTGATGGAGATGTTCTGGAACTAGATACAGGTGTTGGTTGCATGACATTGTGAATGCATTAAATGCCACTAAGTTGTTGACTTTAAAATGGTTAGGTTTTTTTTAAGATTTTCTTTGAGAGAGAGCACGAGAGGGGGGAGGGGCAGAGAGAGGGAGAGAGAGAATCTCAAGCAGACTCCCGCTGAGTGCAGAGAGCTGCACGCAGGGTTCAATCCCACAACCCCAAGATCATGACCTGAACTGAAATCAAGAGTCAGACACCTAACTGACTGAGCCAACCAGGCACCCCTAAAATGGTTAGTTTTTATGTTTTACGTTACTGAATTTCACTTTGATAAATTATTTTTTTAAAAGATGCTTTATAAAAGAAATTTTAAAATAAAAATAAAAAGGGGTGCCTGGGTGGCTCAGTCAGTTGGGCATCTGCCTTTCGCTCAGGTCATGATCCCGGGGTCCTGGGATTGAGCCCCACATTGGGCTCCCTGCTCAAAAGGAAACCTGCTTCTCCCTCTCTCTTTCTCCCTCTGCTTCTGCCCCTGCTCATGCTCTTTCTCTCTCTCAAATAAATAAATAAAATCTT